CTTCACCAAAACGGGCGTAACTCTTTTCACAAGAGGAATTAAGATATGAGGCCACCACCATTGGAAAGCTTACTTCCGGGGCTTCATTTTGCACTCAAGAATCTCCCAAGTCCAAGTCCGGGGGGGAGAGATGTGGTTGGTTGAAGTCCGCTTGGACCGAATCTGCGCGGCTTCACGGAAAAGGGCATAACTTTTTCTACAGGAGGAATTTTAATGCAAGGTTTGCGCCATTGGAAAGCTAACTTCTGGGGCTTCATCCTAAGGTGTGGCCGGCCACTTTTTTCCCTTTGACCTAGCCGACCGGCAACTTTTTCTGGCCGGCCGGCCACTTACCTGGTGGATGACTTTTTTTCCCCTTTTAAACTGGCCGGCCATGTTCCTTGCAATACACACTTTACAGCTGTATAGCTGTATCCCCCAGAAAATATCTCAATCCGGGGGATATTTTGTGGGGGAAAACTTGCCTCCTTTTCCCCCACCTTTTGCCTCCCTTTGCTCCCTCTTTTTTGTCCATATAACCAGCTGCTAGCATTTGTATCAGGGGTTAGAAAAAATCATCTTCAAGCTTGCATGCAAAAATCCTCCTCCATCTCTCTCATTTCCTTGAAAACCTCCAAGTCCAACACCACCATTGCTTCTACACCACCAACCCTCACCCTTCCATCCTCCATTCCAGAAGTTTGAAGGTGTTCTCCAAGGCTAAAGGTGCTGCAAATTGGTCCAAGAAGTAACCAAAGATTGGTCTACAAGGGTGAGTTGCCATTTCCTTCTTTTTAGCTCTTTTTTTTGCAACATTTCTTGGCCTCTCTTTCTTTTTGATTTGAGCTCCGACCGAAACTGAAAGTGGCCATATTTTGAGCTTATTTTCATCTTCCATTAAGGGTCTTACCCTACTTGGGACTTCCTTGTTGCACTTGCTTCATTACCCTCTTGTATGCCATCTTTCTTGCATGATATTTTTGGCTAGTGTGTGATCTGTTTTTGAGTATGTAATAAACTGTTAGTAGACCTATTTTGAGCCCTTCTTCAACATTGTTGAAGGGCTCATCATCATTTTCCATTTCCTTATGCTACTTGCCATTGTAGCCCCCTTTGAGGCCCTAATCTTGCATGTTTTTTTAGCTTATTGTGTTTTGGTTTTTGGCTTCTGATCCGAACTGAAAGTGGTCATATTTTGACCCATTTGTCATGTTTCATTAACAATTTTTTTCTTTTTGTTGAATATTTTGCATACTTTGTGTTATAGCCACTTTTGAGCCTCATTTTGCATTGCATTTCTAGCATGTTTTTATACTGATTTTGGGGCTTCCATGAACTGTAAATGTGCATATTTTTGGTCCCTCTTCAATGTTGTAGAAGGGAATTTTTCAGTGTGGGCTTTGCATATACCACTTGCTTCTTTGGCCACCTTTTGGCCCATTTTCTTGCACAAGAGCTTAGCCGTATCTATGTTTGTTTTTGAGGTTTTTACATTTCTGTAAATGTGCATATTTTGGGCCCCTCTTCAATGTTGTTGAAGGGCCCTAACCTGTTTGGGGTCAGCAGCTGTGAGTTGCTTCATAACCTCATATTTAGGGCCATTTTTGCATGCCATTGTTGCCCTATCTGTGTTTGCTGATTGGCCATGATTTGTACTGATAAAATGCTTATTTTGGGGCTGCCTTGCTACTGTCTATTCATTGCATCTCCATATTGTGCATGTTTGGTATAGCTATAGGCCATTTCGGGTGCCAAAATTTATGCTTCGGGGCTATTCCATGCATCGGGTGCACTTTCGCCTCATTTCGGGGCTGTTTTCCCCCAAATTTCAGTGCTGAAATTCCATTAGCATGTTTTCATATCATTTCCCATTATTGCATTACATATGCCATTGCCTCGGTTTGCGTGCCCGTGTGCACGCATTTCGAGGCACTTCATTTTCATCCATCGGCCTTTATGTGAGTGCGGCTGAGGGCTCTCTCATGTCAGTATAAGTCCATGTTGCATTCTATATGCCATTTTAGCCATATTGCATTGCGTATGCCATTGCCTCGGTTTGCGTGCCCGTGTGCACGCATTTCGAGGCACTTCATTTTCATCCACCGGCCTCTTATGTGAGTGTGGCTGAGGCTCTCTCATGTTAGTTAAGTCCATGTTGCATTCTATATGCCATTTTAGCCCCAATATTGCCATTGCATATGCATTGCCTCGGTTTGCGTGCCCGTGTGCACACATTTTGAGGCACTTCATTTTCATCCACCGGCCTCTTATGTGAGTGTGGCTGAGCTCTCTCATGTAGTATAAGTCCATGTTGCATTCTATATGCCATTTTAGCCATATTGCATTACATATGCCGTTGCTTCGGTTTGCGTACCCGTGTGCACGCATTTCGAGACACTTCATTTTCATCCATCGGCCTCTTATGTGAGTGCGGCTGAGGCTCTCTCATGTTAGTATAAGTCCATGTTGCATTCTATATGCCATTTTAACCATATTGCATTGCGTATGCCATTGCCTCGGTTTGCGTGCCCGTGTGCACGCATTTCGAGGCACTTCATTTTCATCCACCGGCCTCTTATTGAGTGTGGCTGAGGCTCTCTCATGTTAGTATAAGTCCATGTTGCATTCTATATGCCATTTTAGCCATATTGCATTATATGTCATTGCCTCGGTTTGCGTGCACGTGTGCACGCATTTCGAGGCACTTCATTTTCATCCATCGGCCTCTTATGTGAGTGTGGCTGAGGCTCTCTCATGTTAGTGTAAGCCCATATCATATTTCCATGTCATTTGCATTGCGCATGTCATTTCTTGGTTTGCGTGCCCGTATGTACGCATTTCGAGGCATCTCATTTTTACAGCATAGTGCATACTAGGTTGTATCTTAGATCGCATTCAGTCATTTTCTCGGTTTGCGTGCCTGTGTGCGTGCATTTCGAGACATCTCATTTTCATAGCATTGTGCATACTGGGCTGTATCTTAGTTGCATTCATGCATATCATGCATATTGCATCGTGTTCGGGATAGAAGTTTAGCCCGGGCACGGGAAACGAGGTACGTTTCGTACTCCGAGTGACGGAACGTGTCTCAATTCCCAGTCACCGACACTCCGGATTACCCATGATGGAGTAGGTTCTTGTTGTGTTTACACGTGCATTCATTCTATATTGAGCTGCACATTTCGACTCCTCTGCCATCATGCATCGATATGCGTGATTGGTGGCACGAGGATCGAGGCATGCATATATCTATGAAAATACATTACCATGCCCCTTTCCTGCTCTCTGTTGCAGCAAAATGAAGAATCAGCAACTTCTTGGAGTTTGGCGCGCATTTCAAGAAAAAGGTGTAAACAGAGGCTAATTGGGGCATCCCAGTGGATTTCCGCGCAAGGCGGCCAGACATACATCATTCATCAGGAGCAAGGCAGTCCCTGGCTTGCACGCCAGTTTTACAGCTTTCTTAGTTAATTTGATTAATTAATTAGGAATTTGTATATTATTTGGACTGTATTATTTGGACTGTAAATATTCTTTTATTCAGGACTGTATTATTTATTTGGACCCTCTGTGCGAGGGCATAACTGTAATAAGTGTGCGTGTGTGTGTTGTATGTCTTCCAACCCACGTCTTTCTCCCTTTATTTATCCGCTTATGATGGTTAGATTAGGACATATTTCAATTAGCATACAGTATGATAGCATGTTTGCATTCATTCATCTGTTTTGCATGCACCGGGCTCGGCGCATCATACTAACTGCATTTTGTATTTCAATTCCAAATTGAATACATGTTAGCTGTAGCATTCCATATGCCATGTTTAGAATAGCCGAGCCTGCTATAGTTGCATTTTTGCATGTGTTGCATTAGGCATTTCTGTATACTTAGGATCATGCATGATTTCTAATGAAGTTTCTATTTTGGCTTGGAGTACTCGGTAAGCTTTATGCTTTAGCATCCTTGCATGCGTGTGAGTGACTGCCATGAATAGCATGCTTACCATGAGGCTAATTGTTAATGCGATATAACTGCCTGAATGCCTATGGGTGAAGGTTAGGTTATTTGAATTGGAATGAATCATCAACTGTGAGTTTTAAGCCTACTAGATAGTGACAAAACCATCCTTTCTTAAGCCCACCCGAGGGTGGCAAAATCTGCATTTTAAGCCTACTTGCGAGTAGCAAACCATCTTTCAAATAAACAAGCATGAAATGTTTTGTTCCAATTCGGGCGACCCAGTCTATACTTATATGCTGTGTGCATCACATAGTAACCTAGGCTAATAACCGGAATAAGAACACACAAAGTTTTCAAAAAATAGATATCACGGTTAGTAGAAGCCGATCTTTGATCGGGCGAGCGGGGGTGCTCACGAAGTGACCTTCCCCAATCGTACCCAAGTTCCGAGCCGAGGCAACTTTGGTGATGACGGACACGTGGCCTTTGGCACCGAGTCAGGGTTTCCCTAAATTCCATTAAAAAACATTTAGGTGGCGACTCTGTATCTGGCAAAGCAGTCCATGTTTGGCACTTTTTTCAAAAATCTGTTTTCTCAAAACGATTTGCCGGATTTGGACTCTTTGGTTCAGACTTAGAACCCTGACAAATTTGAGAGTCCTGAGCTGTAGTGACCCCAATATGAACGGAACGGGAGCTCGTTCCTCCCGGGGCGTTCGAGGACGTCTACAGCTGCCGATCCCTTTGCATCCAGCCATTCAGTTTCAGTTACTCCATTCCCAGTTAACCCCATTAAACCATCCCGATCTGAGTACATCAATTCACATGTTACTAACTTGTTCTACAAAGAACCCAGTCACCCAAAAAATCAAACCATTAATGAAATTGCTAAATTCCATTTTGGTTCTGGATGCCATTTCACCCTTTCATATCCAGAGAAAACCCTCTCCTATTACAAAGACATTCTACTCCATCACCATTCAATTTTGATCAAACCAATCCAGGATCGAACCTATGCTTACAAGATCCTATATCATTCAATTTATATTCACAACATTATTTCCATGGCTGAATGGGGTAATCCTAACCAGCTTCGTGATTTACCTGGTTATCCCATTCAATATAATTACCATGATTATGTTGATGCTTGGTTCAAGATTTTCTTGTACCAAAATGAAACTTTCAGTCATTCTTGGTTCATCTCATTTGATCAAAAATTCAAATCTGAAATACCTACCTGGTTTCTGAGATGGTGGACTCACTATAGCGCCATTTCAGATATCCTCCCTGATGATCTCCGTGAAATAGTTAATTATTTTGCCTCTGTTTATCCCTTTATTGCTCATCAACGACAATTTCCATTATTGCTAATCTTTATATCCAAATACAAAATTCCATGGATATTTAAATGGCAATATGGGATTGATGATAACATCATCATTCGCCAACACATAGTCAAATGGTGGGTTAAGTTCAATGTACCCAGAATTCTTGAGATTGTTCAAGAGAAATTCCCACCTGATCAGTGTGCTCCAACTCCTGCTCTTGCTAAAGCCCAGCAGAACCCAACTGCTGCAATTACTCAAGAAAGTCAGCCCAGTCTTCCTCCAGTCAACCTTGGAAGCCCCTCATCCAGTGGTTCCAAGCCCAAATCATTCAAATCAAAGTCCAAAGCTATTGCTGCCCAGCCAGCCCAATCAAAGCCCAAATCAAAGTCCAAAGTAAAAGCAAAGCCCATTTCACCTCCTGCTCAGCCCAAAGTCAAGTCCAAGAATAAATCCAAGTCATCCAAAGAAGATATGATCCAGTTAGCTCACCAACTTTTGAATCAAGCTAAAACCCAATCCACCGATTTAGACAGTTCAGAAGAAGGTTCAGCACATGCCCACTCCTCTGAAGAATCAACTAATCAATATTCAGGACCTGAGTTTCAAGATGCCCAGGATCCGTTTGCATAATCAACATTGGATTCCATATAGATACAAATTAGCTTCAGTCAATACTCTTTTGAGAAAAGCTGCCAATTTGTATTCATATTGATTCCATTACTCACCGAAAGTGATGAATAGTAAAAGTTACTGTTCACTTTTACTATTCACCGTCACTATTCATCCAGTCAACTTTTGTTTAAAGATACTCAACTATTCAATCAATCAGCCGAAAGCAACCGATAGCATCTGCTTTTCCCCATGCGCTGCCAGCTGCTTTCATCAGTCAAATGCTGCTTTTCTTTTCTTTGTTTTTGTATATAATGTAATCAAGTTGAACTCATTCGGCAGACTTGGAAAAATTTCTGAAACAATCCAAGAGCTCTGAGTGAAACCCAACACCTTGTACTGTAATTGTAAGTTTTAATTAAATGTTTTAATATGTTGTTTGTTCAAATATATAGTCTTTTGATTTCGTAATCCATCTCCTTCATTCTCTTTGTACTGCTTTGTACTGCTTCCGCGTTTTGGTATCAGAGCCAAGTGATGTTGTATCCTGTTTCTAACTGTTTTGCTTCTTCTATTCAATATTCTCTATTGTTTATTTGATTAATCCTGTTTTCAGCTTATCTTAATCACCCAAAAGATCAGTCTGTTCTATCCACCTAGTTTAAGTCACCCACTTCTTCCCAGTCTAGTGTAAGTCCTTCGGTTTAGGCAGAATCTGACTTTGGGGTTTCAAGATAGGGTATGTATGTATACTAGGTATGTGGTAAAATTGACAAGAATAGGGTATGTATTAAGATATCTGTAAAACTGGTTAATTAAACAGAACAATGAGTCGATTATTTAGAAGTAACTTATCCGTTAGTTCTAGGTCAACAACTTTACCCTCAATACCTAATCAAGGATTAGTAATTAATGAGGAAGATGTTGAAATACAAAATGATAAATTTGATGCTGAATGGAATATACCCAAACTGCCAATTAAAGAAATTTATAAAACTACTTTTTTACAGAATGTTTTTAAAGTTGCTCTCCATGTTAAAACTATTGAACAAGTTTATGCTTTAGAAAAACCTAGGGAAACCTGCCAATTATTTGATAAAAAATTAATCAAGAGACATTTAGATAATGGTTATAATTTTATGCATATTGGCTTAATTCAAATAGGTGTAAATCCATTGACAATGGTAGGCAAAAACATTTCTGTTTTATTATGTTTAAGAGATGCTCGCTTTCTTAATTACAATGATAGTTTAATGGGTATGATGGAAACTGTTCTTCATAAAAGTCCAGTACATTTTAATTGTTTTCCTGATTTTACACTTAGTTTACGCGATCCACATATTCTCAAAGTATTAACATTAAACATTCAATTACATGGTTTATTCACTGAAATGTTGGAAAAAGTCCATAATATTGCTTTAATTTACCGTGTTCATTATAAATGCATCCAAACTAATTTAAATGTTCATGCCTTACACAAAAGCCCCAAAGATAAAACTTTATTAATTCAAAGCAGTAGTAGTAATGAATCCAACATTAATATTCCTCAAATGATTGAATGGAAGAATATAGATTTACCTGATCAATGGGTTACTGTTAATGAAACTTACAAACACAATCAACACCAACCAAACTTCTTAGAATAAACTAAAAGGAATTGATAATTCTACCACTTCCCAGATCAATAAACCTGTTTATACTACTCTCACACATTTACCAGAAGAAGATATTGCTTCAAATACTTCTCCAACTCAAATTGATTTCGAAGAATTTATACCTTCGGTAAATCCTCAACTAATGACAATCAAAAAGGATTTTACTCCTGATTTAGATAAATTACTTATTGACTTTAGATCCAAAGAAAATAGGACTAAAAGACATGCTTATCGTGCTAAATATGATTCTACTCAACAATCCAAAATAACTAGGAATTGGTATGATTTTATGGTTCAGTATGGTTTTGAATTATCTTTCTTTGACTATATGGATCAATATTACAAAAAGATCAACACAATCACAAAACATAAATGGAAAACTTCTCCTAATACTTCTGTTAGCTCTAATCATCCTCCATTAAAAAATATAATTATTGATCACCAAGGTTCTGAAGTTCCAGCCTCTCTTTTTAAATTACCTGGTACTGACCCTGAAATTAAAAAAGTTATTGAACAAAATAATTATACTAATCAATGTTTAAAAACCATTGGTAAACAATTAGATAAATTAGAAACTAATTTAGAAGAACAATCCACAAAATCTACTAAACCCTTAGATCAACCTTTACTCAATCTCCCTAGTCATCGTTCTAAACGAACTAGCCTAATTACTAATGATCAATCTACTGTCAAAGCCATTGAACACTTATTTACTAAGTTAACTCCCAATGATACTTCTACATCCAAAGATAAAAGTCTTACTGTTTTAAATCAACAACCTATTACCAATACTGTTTTCAATCAATCTGAAACTGACACTACTGATAATGAAATAAATCAATTAGCCCAACAATTTCAATCTTCTAATCTTAATAAAATTCATTATCCCAAAGTTAATCCTCAAACTACCAAAAACTGGTATTCTCGACATACTCCACCTGATCTCCAATTTGAAGAAACTAATCTTAATAATCAATTTTCTGTTTCTGCTAAAAAATTATACGAATGGAATATTGATGATCTTAGTGAAGATCAGATCTTTCAAAAATTAAATCATTTATCTATGGTTGCAAATAGTTATCTCAGTAATTATCCCCAATATTCTCAATCTGAAATTGTTTCCTTAATTACCTCTGGTTTTACTGGTATGCTTAAATCATGGTGGGAAAAATACCTTACTGATGAACAACGCGATTCAATCATTTATGCTAATCAAACTGATGAAAATGGTCTACCTATTTTTGATGAAACTATTGGATGTTGTCACCCTGATGGAATCAATCAATTAATCTATACAATAGTCCGACATTTTATTGGTACCCCTACAAATATATATTCTCGCATACATGATCAACTTAGTAATCTTACTACTAAATCATTCTAGAAAGAAAAATTTATTAATGGATTACCTAGCTTATTTGCTCACAAAATTAGAGATTTTCTTAGTCAACCTACTGGTGTTATTGAATATGATGATTTAACATATGGTGATATCATTAGCACTATTCAAAAAGAAGGTTTAAAAATGTGTATTGATCTTAAACTTACTCAAAAAGCTAATAAAGATAAACATAAAGCTAAATATGAATTAGGCAATTTCTGTGAACAATATGGTTTACCTCCTGTTGCACCCTCTCGTAGGAAATCACACAAATACTCCAAACATAAACATAAATCATCATACAAATATTCTAGTAAATATAAAAAGAATTATTCACCTTCCAAATCCAATGATAAATTCTATACTAAACCTAAAAAGAAATATTATAAATCAAAAGTACATCCTAAATCTAAATCTACCAAAGATGTTACTTGTTATAACTGTGGTCAAAAATGTCATTATTCAAATAAATGTAAAGAAAAATAAAAATTAAAAGATAAAGTTAATCAACTTCAAATTGATGATAACTCCAAAAATCAATTATATGAAATCTTTCAATTAAATCAATCTAATAGTAGTTCCTCTTCTACTGATCATCCCAATACTTCGTCTGATTACCAATAACCTAGTGATGATTCTGATAACAATATTAATATAGGATGTAATGATATTTGTTGTAAACCAGTTAAACAAATTACTGTTCTTACCAAAAACACTCAAGAAGAATCTGCTCTTATTGACCTGATTAGTAAATTAGATAATCCAAAACTAAAACAAAAATATATTGATAAATTAAAATCTTTATTAATCCAATCAGACACTAAACCAAAGTTTGATAAACCAATAATTAGTCTATCCAAAACTTTAGAAAGATTTAAAAATAAACAAAAAGAAGTTACCTTACAAGATCTGCAACAAGAAATCAATCAGATTAAACACACAATCAAAGAATTACAACTTAAAGATAAAAAATTAGAAGACGAACTTATTACTTTAAAACTTAATAAAAGTCTAGATAATTTCCAAAATAATGATCAAGAATCTCCCCATGAATCTGAACATGATTCTGATCCCACTAATCCTGATAATTTGATATTTGATAATTGATCACACCAATCTCAATCCAACAATCCTGAAGAAAAACGGTTAAGTCTAATTAATAAACTTTATATTCAAAAATGGTATTCAAAAATCAAAATAATTATCAATTACTTTGAATTAGAATTAATTGCTTTAATTGACAATAGTGCTGATTTAAATTGTATACAAGAAGGTTTACTTCCTACTACATATTATGAAAAATGTCAAGAGAAATTAACTTCTGCTAATGGTAGTAAAATGCATATCAAATATAAATTACCTAAAGTGCATGTTTGCCAAGTTAATGTATATTTTAAAACCTCTTTTGTTTTAGTCACAAATATGACCGATAAAATTATTTTAGGTTCCCCATTTATATATTTATTATATCCATTTACTACATCTAGTACAGGAATAACTACACATGTTTTAGGACAACCTGTTACATTTAAATTTTTATCTCCTCCTGAAATATTAGCATTAAATCAATTAAAAGATTGTTCTATTTCTCATACAATCAATCGCTTAACCCGACATTTAAATTTTCTTAAAGAAGAAATTAATTATATACGCATTGACCAACAATTAACTGATCCAGTTCTTATTTCTCAAATTAATGATTTCAAACTAAAACTTGAATCAACTGTTTGTTCTACCTTACCTACTGTATTCTGGCATAGGAAAAAGCATGTAGTTACCTTACCTTATATTAAGAATTTTGATGAACGACAAATTCCTACTAAATCTAGACCAATTCAAAATGAATCATGAATTACTTGAAATGTGTAAAAAAGAAATTAATGAATTATTACAAAATCGAATAATTAGTCCAAGTAAATCACCATGATCTTGCCCTGCTTTTTATGTTAATAAAAATGCTGAATTAGCAACTGAGGTGCTTCCTCGCTTAGTCATCAATTACAAACCTTTAATGCGTTTTTAGAATGGATTAGGTATCCTATTCCTAATAAAAAAGATTTAATTAAACGATTAGTCAAGTTGTTTTTTTCAGTAAATTCGATTTAAAAGTAGTTTTTTGGCAAAATACAAACTATCCTAGAGATAGATATAAAACTGTATTCAACACACCCTTTGGCCATATGAATGGAATGTCTCGTCATTTGGTTTTAAAAAATGCTCTCTAGTGAATTTCAAAATATCATGAATGAAATATTCAACCCATTTAGTCATTTTTCAATTGTTTACATTGATGACATCTTAATTTTTTAAAATTAATTAGTGAATATTGGAAACATTTAACTCGCATTCTTCTTACACACAAATTAAAAGTCATGGTCTTGTTATTTCTGCTCCTAAAATTAAATTATTTCAAACTAAGGTTAGATTCTTAGGCTATGATATTCATCATAATACTATTTTACCCATTAGTAGATCCATTGAGTTTGCGTCCAAATTCCCTGATGAAATTCTGGATAAAACCCAATTACAAAGGTTTTTAGGTTCCCTCAACTATATTGCTGAGTTTTACAAAGACCTTCGAAAAACTTGTCAACCTCTGTTTGATAGGTTAAAATCTAATCCTCCTCCTTGGTCTTATGTTCATACTTCTATTGTTCAACAAGTCAAACAATATGTTAAGTCTCTTCCTTATCTTGGTATTCCTACTGAAAACTCATTCAAAATCATTCAAACTGATGCCTCCGACATTGGTTATGGTGGCATCCTTCTTCAACAAGTTACTCCTCAATCATCTGAACAAATTGTTCGCTATTATTCTGGTGTCTGGAATAAAGCACAATTAAATTATAATACTATTAAAAAAGAAATTTTATCTACTATTTTATGTATTATTTTTATTTAAAAAATATTATTTCGAGTTGAGCTGAGTCAAGTTTGAATTTTATTAATATCTATACTATATATTAAGCAAAATGGGGTTTCTAACCCCCAAGGCATGTGGGAGCTCCAATATGTCAATCCTAATTTTCTAATTTTTTGTTTTGTTTTTTTTTTTTAAAATTAATCTCAGCATTTATTAACTTTTCACAACCCATAAGACTTTTTGACTTCTCTCATATTGTAGTACCTTTTTTAAAACAAATATTTTGTATATTAAAAAAAAATTTAAAACATATATTAAGCAAAAAGGGATTTCTAACCCTTAAGGCATGTGGAAGCTCCAATATGTTAATCCTAATTTTCTAATTTTTTAATTTTTTTTTTAAAAAAATTTAACCTCAGCATTAATAACTTTTCTCAACCCATAAGACTTTTTGACTTCTCTCATAATTATTGTAGTACCTTTTTTAAAACAAATAATTTGTGTATTAAAAAAAATTTAAAACAAATATAAATATCTATATCTATATCTATCTATCTATTTATTTATATCTACCTTTAACCCACAAGTTTTGTGGGAGTTCCAATATCTGAACCTTAATTTCTTAATTTTTTTGATTTTTTTTGAAAAAAAAAAACTTAGCACTTATTAAATTCTTCCAAATCTTTTTAATTTCTCCAATACACATACTCTATTTAACTTTTTACATACCTATTGCAAAAAGTGAGTCTCATTTTTGTTTTCTCCTTCTTGACTTCTTACTTCTACACTTTCAACTTCAGTGACCACGTATACAAACAGTAAGTCTTCTTTTTGTTTTCTCCTTCTTGACTTTTCCTTTTGTTTACTGTTTTAATATTGTAGTTAGATAGCGCATAAAAATATTTATAATTTGTCTAGCGAATAAAAAATTATAATTTAATTTTTTAATATGATTGATGTTAGATAAATATAAACCCTTACAAAGAGAAAAATGTGATTATAATTAATTGAATGATTCTTTTTTTTTTTTAATGTGATTGTAGTTAGCTTAATAGTTCTTTTTTTCATTTATTTATTTTATTATTGAAAAAATGTGATGTGATTGTAGTTTGTTCAATGGCTCTTTTTTTTTAATATGATTGTTGTAGTTAGTTCAATATATTTTTTTTAATGTTATTTAATCTTTTATTTACTATTTTAATTTTATTTTTAATATGATTGAAGTTAGATAAACATAAACACTCACAAAGAAAAAAATGTGATAGTTGAATGATTTTTTTTTTTTAATGTGATTGTAGTTAGTTTAATAGTTTTTTTTTTCATTTATTTATTTTATTATGGGAAAAATGTGACGTGATTGTAATTTGTTCAATGGCTCTTTTTTTTAATATGATTGTTGTAGTTAGTTCAATGGTTTTTTTTTTAATGTTATTTAATCTTTTTATTTACTATTTTAATTTTATTGATTGAAGTTAGATAAATATAAACACTTACAAAGAGAAAAATGTGATTGTAATTAGTTCAACAGTTTTTTTTTTAATATGATTGTAGTTAGTCAATAGTTCTTTTTTTCATTTATTTTTTTTATTATGAGAAAAATGTGATGTGATTGTAGTTTGTTCAATGATTTTTTTTTAATGTGATTTAATCTTTTATTTACTTTTTTAATGGTTTTTCTTTATAATTATTTATGAAAAAAATATGATTGTAGTTAGATAGCATAAAAATATTTGTGATTTGATTTGATTTTTTTCTGATTTGATTTTTAAAGTACCAATTATTGATAATAATTAGACTGTATTTTCAAAAAAAAAAAATTGTAATTGATTTTTTTAACTCACTGTGTTTTTTGAAAAAAAAATTATTGTGTTTTTTTAACTATCAATTCACTTAATTTGTGATTTGATTTTTAACTCACTGTGTTTTTTGAAAAGCAAAATGGATTATACTCATTAGGGTCACATAATGTATCAATTATTGATGATGATTAGATTGTATTTTGACCCAAAAAAATTGTAATTGATCCTTTTAACTCACTATGTTTTTTGAAAAATAAATTATTGCGTTTTTTAATTATTGATGATAATTAGATAGAATTAAAAAAATTGTGATTTGTATGATTGAAGTTATCTCTTTTTGTTTATAATTTTATGTTTTAATATGATTGAAGTTAGATAAACATAAACACTTATAAAAAGAAAAATGTGATTGTAGTTTGTTCAATGGTTCTAAATAATCTTTTTATTTACTATTTTAATGGTTTTTTTTTTTCAATTTTTTTTATTATGAAAAAAAATGTGATTGTAGTTAGATAGCATTAAAAAAAATGTGATTTGTGTGATTGAAGTTATCTCCTTTTGTTTATAATTTGATTTTTTAATATAATTGAAGTTAGATAAATATAAACAAACACTCAAGCGGGTTTTTCAAGACCTATGGGAGTTTCTGTTGGAAAATTTATAAAGAGGTAGTTGTGAATTGAAATAGACTCCATTTTGAATGAAAGGGTGTAACCTTTCATGGTGTCTTTTTGTTTTCAAGAAAGGGTCAAACCGCCATTTGAATGAAAGGGCGCAAACCTTTCACGGTGTCTCTTTATTTTAAAGAAAGGGATATGTCCCTTCTTCATACCTTTTCTATTCAAATTGAATAGGTGCCAACAAAGCCTATATAAAGGCAGCCCCATTCCAATTTTGATTGATTCCGAAAATTCATTTTCCTTGCCTTCATTTTGCTCTCTTGCATCCTTTATTCTTCATATTATTTTAGGAAAAATTTCAGAGAGTTATAGGATTGTAGTTAGATAGCATTAAAAAAAATGTGATTTGTGTGATTGAAGTTATCTCCTTTTGTTTATAATTTGATTTTTTAATATAATTGAAGTTAGATAAATATAAACACTCAAGCGGGTTTTTAAGCAAAATGGGGTTTTTAAGCCCAAGGCCTGTGGGAGTGAATTTTCTAAATTTTTTATTAAAAAAAAAAAACTCAACATTTATTGATTTGGTCAAAATTTCCTGATCAACATTTATTAACTTTTTTCAATCCACATGCCTGCATTTATTAATTTGGTCAAAATCTCCTGATCAGCATTTAAAATCCCCTCATACAAATAACTATATATACAATTTGTGTATAGTTATTACAGTAGCCTTTTTAACTTCTCTCATACACTATGAGTAGTGATAAGATTGTTAAATTATTTTTATAAAAAAACTTAAAAAACATAATTTATATATTAAAAAAAATCTAAAACAAATATAAATATTTATAATTATCCCGTGTATAGCACGGGTGATAGGCTAGCTAACGAATTAAGCCGAATTTAAACCCAATTACCTATTGAGTCGGGTTCAAAATCAATAAATAAACCCGATAAGTAAACGAACTGAACTCAAAATTAACAAAACTCTGCTGGATTAGACTCCTTTACAATCTTGTCCAAATTTATTGTGAAAAAAAAAAAAAATGCCACGCACAAACACACCAAATGTACAAAACGAGGAATACGATATTTTTTTTTTTGATTCATTGAAATGAAACCTACATTTGCAATATAGGGTTCAAGAGAGGTTTTGTAGTTTTATCTTCTTCATTCTTCACTCTTACCCTATCTCTCTTCCTCTCCTTCTCTCCCCTCTCTCTCTCTCTACCCAGCAGAACTGCCAACTCCCGCTAACCTGGCTTCCACAGCTTCCTTTGCTCCGAGCCCTAGAGCTCAACTACACACCTCATGGAGACCCAAAAATCTCAAACCAAACCAAAACCCCCCCAAACCCCCAAACTTTCTCTTCATTCTAAACCCTAACACTCCAAATTTCTCTCAAAAACCTTCATTCTCCTCTTCTTCTTCTTTCCCACACAGCCTCAAGCTTCCTTGTCTCAACACTTCAGTTTCAACTCATTTACACCCCTTATCCGACTCAACCGACGAGAGTTTCGTCCAAAATCTCGAGGATTTGGCAAATTTGCCCACAATTGCAAATGGATTTCATCAAATTGCCCCCCGGGAATCGATTAGGAGAGTTTTCATTCAAGACCCACCTTGGATTACTTCACTGTTTATGAAGAATTTGTACAATAGGACTAAACAAGAGGTGAAATCAGAATTCCAAGAAGTTGATAGGAAGAGATATTATTTGTTGAGGAGGAGACAGATTAGGGCTGAGACTGAGGCTTGGGAGAAGATGGTGGAGGAGTATAGGGAGTTGGAGAGAGAGATGTGTGAGAAAAAATTGGCCCCCAATTTGCCTTATGTAAAGAAGTTGTTTTTTGGTTGGTTTGAGCCTTTGAGGGAGGCAATTGCTAAGGAACAGAGGACGCAGAGAACGAAGAAGCAAAAGGCGGCATTTGCACCGAATATCGATTCTTTGCCCGCTGATAAGATGGCTATTATTGTGATGCATAAGATGATGGCTTTGTTGATGACTGTGCAAGAGGACATGTCTGTTCGGGTTGTTCAAGCTGCGGTTCAGATTGGTGTGGCAATTGAACAGGAGGTGAGTCTTGAATTGTTCTGTATATGAATGTGTGCTAAGCATATGCAAATTTGCAATTTTTGTATTGGTCTGTGGTACTGGAATCCCTATATGAGTAGTCATTGAATTGAAACTTGAATCTATAGAGACAATGTGCAATAATTATGTAGAAAGTTATTGGATTCAGTTGTGTAGAATAGTGTTGTCAATTGTGGCTATCTTGTTGTGACTTGTTGGGTTAAAGTGATTGGTTGGTTAACTTGAAGCATGTAAAAATGAATAGGAGACAACTAGTTGATGCAGAAATACGAATTACTAGGCCTACTGTATCTTTTTTACATGGTGCTACATTTGAATTCTTCCTTGGTCAAATGGTAAACTATTTGGATGCTCTACTGGAAATGGGCAGTAATAGAGAACTACAGGGAAATATATTATTTGATTATTTGAAATTGCATTTGCAGCAATTCATTTTTGCATTATATTTTTTGAGTGATCTATTGTGATTATCACAGACTTTGATATTTGGTCCTTATTCGCTTGGCTTGGGCCACATGTGGCTGACTTATTATTAAAATCAGAGAATAAAGAAAGTACAAAATACGCGAAGGCATCAAAACATAAGAAAAGGAAGAGAAAAATTAGGCTCCGTTTGGGAAGATGGATTTGGGGCTTTTTTTGGCTATTTTAGCCACAAAAGACAAAATAAGCTATTTTAACCACAAAAAACAAAACATCACATCCAACCTATAATCATTACACTCTTCTCTCACAAAAAAAGTCAAAAAAGCCAAAAAACTCTTCCCAAACCAAGCTCTTTAGCCCATGCTAAAATAGCCAAAAAAGTCAAAAAATCAAAAAGTCAACCCACTTCCCAAACGAAGCCTTAATCACAACTACAAATAACAGACAATTTCCAATCTCTAGAAACAAAAAAACAAAGGCATTCTTTTAAAGATATTGATATTGAAACCCAAAAAGGAGACAAGTAAAAAATCTTCCCCCATAGGTTTGCAACTTATTCAAACTTATCATTAAAACTCTTGTATTTCTTTCCGTTCAAATAACTGAAAGCACAACACAAATCACACTATTCCATAGGACTAGGGGCTTCTTAGTGGAACCAAAACCTCTATAGTCAACAACGAGCGGTTAGGTACATGAAGCCAGAAATACCCAATACACAGAAATATATTACATTTTTGGACCAAAATACTAAATTAAAGCTATCCAGAGTGATCCAAATAGTTTTTCTAATTTTCCTAATGAAGAAAAACATTGACTAAAATATATTAATGCTAAAAACAATGGAATTTTTACAGGAGAAGATCGAAGAAACTAGGGACATAATGCATCAATAGTTCAACTATTATAGGATGCACTTAGATATGTTTTACATGATTAATTTGACCATAAGAAAAATCGAAAAATATAAATGCATTTTACTTGATATGTATAATTGATTTCTAATTGTTGATAGAAAATCATACTCTTATCTATAAATAGCTTGATATTCACTTCAGTTATACCATTGTATAAGGCTACTCCCACTACACCGCATTAGCGTGTAGTGTACAGTGTGAAAGGATTTTCTTAATTTGTTAAGGTTTTCTAGGCAAAGAGAATAAGGAATTAGAATCTCGAGCCTGTATACCTACATGTGTGTTTCTGTATACGATATATCTAGTAATAAGTCAGTTACAATCATATTTGGGATTCGGTTTTTACAGATTATGTCCTGCTTCTATAAGGACTGAAGCCTTAAAGAAGATAAGAAGCAATGGGAAGTGATTGTGGGTCCACTAGCAAATTGAGATATTTCCAATTATACTGCTACAGTTGACAGATCTAAGATTAATTTTGATTTCATAAGTTTGTTTTCTTACTATATCTGGCTGTGTCATTTGTCACAATCAGATCTATTGGCGTACCCCAAATAAAATCCTTTTAGCCTTTCCTCATCTGTAGTGTCGATAAGTAATCTCAATCATTTTTAATGAATTTATGTCCAGTCAGTGTTATGTATTTTGATTAATCTCATTAGGAAAACAAGTGACTTCATTGTTCATTAAGTCTATTTTTGCATTCAAGCATTAGATAAATATGTATTTCTTACTTCAGACTTTTAGTTTGGAGAGATTTGGTTAAAGGTTTCATCAAATTCTGAATCAAATTTGAATTGCATTGGAAGGTATTGCATTAACCATTGATCTCCATTTTAATTGACATTCATTGTGAGCTTACATATAAGTTGTAACTTGTAACTAATGCAAGCCGTTTTGAATAAGCCAATCAGCTTATTAGAGGATTGGCAAATAATGAGACTAAGTGAATTGATTAAGTTGGGCATAATGATATGTATGCATCATCTAATTCGAGAAATGAATAGAGCCCTTTAATCTCACTTCGATTATTATTTGAAGTATCGATATCAGCCATCAGGAAAAAGATTTTGTCTAATTAACTTTTCTTTTATCCATTATCTCTTATTTGGGATAAATATAAAATTATTGATAATCTTCTTATTATTTTTGCAATTAGTACAGGTTAGAATTCATAGTTTCTTGGAGAAAACTAAGATGTACCAGAGAAAGAAGATTGTAGCTCCAACTGAAGAAAGCTTTCGTAAGGATGTTGAGATACGAAGGAAACGTGTAAAAAGTTTGATCAGAAGAAGAAAGATACTTGAGGTGCAAAAGCTGGTGAAAGATGAAGAAATTAAGCCTTGGGGTCGTGACACACAGGCTAAGGTTTGTGGCCATCAATATTTATTCCTTCTGAAATGAATAAGTGATGGGTATATATATATCTCTTTATGTTCTATAGTTACTAATTATTTTCTTTTTCTAATGTAATACAGCTAGGATGTCGTCTGATAGAATTATTAACTGAAACAGCTTATGTACAGCCTCCAGTCAACCAGTTAGCAGATAGTCCACCTGATATTCGACCTGCATTTAGGCACTTATTCAGAATTTCAAACGATCCTGGGTGAGCATGTAATTCTTTGCATCAGTAATTCATCTTCAAAGCACTGGACCTTGTCTGACTAATTCATGGTCCATGATATGCTAATATTTAGACAGATCATTAGGCCAATTCTTGGTGGGGAAATTGCCTAAGCAGATGAGTTTTGTTTGATGATTGATGCTTAAGTTCGACATTTCATTTGTTTGTGTCAATGCTGTATTTAAAATGTGGTCAGAAAATTCTTATTAAAAAAAATGTGGCCAACAAATTGAATTGTTTGTGTTAAGTTATTATGGCTATATGCATACATAGCACAATGCTTTATTTCTGTCTTTCTAACTTAGTTGTAAGTCTGATTTGTTGTTTGCTCCTTGTAGGCAGAAAGTTGTTAAGAGGTATGGAGTTATAGAATGTGATCCCCTAGTCCTTGCAGGACTTGATAGAACTGTGAGTTAATATCTCTTCTTTTTGCTCATTTGGTTTGCATAATATTTATTTGCGGTTTATCCCACCTAGGAAATATAAATCTTATTTAATTGGATGAGAATGTATGCATAAATACTAATTCAATCCCAATACTTTTGTGCTTTTTATAAATGATGTGTCAGAATAAGATATATTGTCCTGTGGACTGAAGTATACTTCCTTCCATTTGTTCTTTATTGGATATTTAATCTTTCACATTTAAAGTACATTTTAAGCAATGGAATATTTTGAACTTGCGTTTACAACTGCCTATGACGTGCCGGCACTTCAAAACAAGTGCCGTAGGGGTGTCAGAAACGACCGAGACACAGGGACATGGTGGGGACACATTTATTTAATTAATATGTTTTCAGGAGAAATGACAAGGACACTCTGGGGACATGCCAACTAGGTTTTTTCCCCCTTTTCTTTAGTGCTTTTGATGGATGTTGGATGTTGAATGTTTATTACTCTTTTACTTAGATTTAAATATTTAACAATCATCCATAAAATGGATACAAACGACAAGTGTTAATTCCAAAGTGATTTTTTTTTTTTGGATACTTTGTGGATGTAATGATAATCTACATAGCAAATATGAAAAAGATTTTATTGCTGTGTCCTCTCCGTGATTGTGTTCCCATTTGTTTGAAACCATTGTGTCTTGTGTCTTTGTCCGTGCTCGTGTCCGTGCCCGTGCTTCTCAGACGACTGCTATGAACCCACTAATTATATTATTTGTGAAAGTAATACAATTTTTTTTCTTGATTATAAATTCCAAATATGCAAATAAAAAAAATTGAGTACTTGTTTTTGTTTTGATTTGTCCTTCATGTCTAATCCTTCGAACATTTCTTTTTATGCAGGTTAAGCATATGATCATTCCTTATGTGCCAATGTTGGTGCCTCCAAAAAAATGGAAAGGGTATGTTATTCACTCAACATGCGATGATGTTGTTCACCTGGCCCTTAAGGTGGTTGGCTTTGGGTTTGTGTTAGTCGGACACAAAGTTCAAGTCATCATGTTTTGTGATTTGCCCCTATCTTGACCTCTTCAAAAGGCTAATGAGAAAAAAAAAAAAAAGAAAAAGAAAATTGACACTCCAGTATGTTCAGATATAATCAAAGAAATAGAGGGTTGCTTTCAGCTAAAATTTTCACTTATATTTGAAGTGTCTTATATGACTCCTTTCAGGTATGACAAAGGTGGGTACTTTTTCTTACCTTCTTATCTCATGCGAACTCATGGATCGAGGCAGCAACAAGATGCTGTTAAGAAAATTGCTGTGAAACAAATGCAGAAAGTATACGAGGTAAAAGCTTAGGTTTGATATATTTATTTTTTCCTTATATTTCTCTAAAGCATTAATGTTTGTCCTATGTGTGAAGTTAGATCACAACCATATTGCTTTAAAATTGCACATGTTCAGGCCCTGGACACACTAGGAAATACCAAATGGAGAGTTAACCGAAGAGTTCTGAGTGTGGTGGAGAGCATTTGGGCTGGAGGTGGCAACATTGGAGGCCTGGTTGATCGCAAAGATGTGAGTGCACCCTGAAATTTCTTCTTTAAGCAAACAACTTCCCATTCAGTGTGGATGTTTGTATGGTGCATTTAGTGATAATATTCTTGTAAGAGTGGTCTACCATTGATAGCAAGGTGGTTGTCAATTCGTCACTATAGAGAAACTTGATAGTTCTTGCTTCTTTGTTATCCATGGGAAACAGCTTGTAATGTGATTGGAAAATCCTTTCGATTATACTCCTAAAATTTCCCCTGCAATGTTTGCCATTTTTGATGGCTATGCAAAAGGATTATCCAATCATTATATTTAATTAAAAAAATAAAAAATAAAAAAATCATCCGATCATTATGGTTATCATTGGTAGACTACTTATACAACTTGATATGTTAGGTTTTGTTTTCTGTAGCTGTACCTTAAGTAATCAATCTGGCACTGCTTTTCATTCACTTGCAGGTTCCCATACCTGAGAGGCCACAATCAGAGGATTTAACAGAAATAAAAAAATGGAAATGGAGTGTAAGAAAGGCAAAAAAAATCAACCAAGAGTTGCATTCTCAACGATGTGATATTGAACTTAAGCTTTCTGTATGATTTCTTTCTTTCAAAAAAAATTAAATATCGTATTGCTTTATTATTTTTCTTTGAACTTGCACTGTAAAAAATGAATTGCACAAAATGTACTTTATGAGAAACTCAAGAACTGTATTCAGACCATATGTTTAAGGTTTCATTGTATTGGAGTGGATTATGAATGGGCCCTATTTTGAAACAGGTGGCTCGGAAAATGAAAGGTGAGGAAGGGTTTTATTATCCCCACAATCTGGATTTCCGGGGCCGGGCTTACCCTATGCATCCGCATTTGAACCATTTGAGTTCTGATCTCTGTCGAGGAGTTCTTGAGTTTGCGGAAGGGCGACCATTAGGGAAGTCTGGTTTACGTTGGCTGAAGATACATTTAGCAAACCTATATGCAGGTGGTGTTGAAAAGCTTTCATATGATGGACGCCTAGCGTTTGTGGAAAGCCATCTGGATGATGTATTGGATTCAGCAGACAACCCTCTTCATGGAAATCGGTGGTGGTTAACTGCTGAAGATCCTTTTCAATGTTTGGCAACTTGTATTAATCTGACAGAAGCCTTAAAAAGCTCATCGCCGCATACTGTCATCTCCCACCTGCCTATTCATCAGGTAAGTGTTTTTGGATGCCTTGGAATCATAAAAGAACATCTATCAACTTATGCAAGCTGAAAATATCTTTTGTAAATTTCTCCAAGGATGCTTTGTTTACTATGAACCATTTTTAGCAATTGCATTTGTAAGAGTAATGCTAATTATAGATCCAGCTTACCTTGTTGTAATCCCAAACCTACTGAAAGATATATAATAACTATTTTCTGCACCCTAGCCTGAGTTGAGGGTCTCCTTTACATCCATACATGCTTTATTGTTGTACTTGAGTAGATCTTGAAAGCAAATCACCCGTATATCACCCCTTTTGTGCTCATCAAATTTTACTTGCAAAGAAATATCTTATATTTTGCTTATTCCCTTTGTTACTAATCTCAATTTTATTGAGATGCATTTTACCTTTAAATTGAGATGTCTCCAATCTCCATCACTTGAAGAACTTGGGTCCTGGTTTGAAATCATGTAATTCAGATCTAGTAATGGGATATGCTTTCTTGGGGTGGGCCAAATAGTTCACATGACGATTAAGGAATTGATTCATAGTTCCAATACGGGAAACATAAGCAGGAAACAGAAACGTGGTCCAAAATAATTGTGTGTAATGGAAAACACTAGGTGATATAAGAACGTATAAGACATGCATAATTAAATTTAGGTAAATTACACTGATGCATAACCCCACCCCCTACCCTTATGGAAGCCATCTTTCTTCCTCCTCCCCCTCCCTCTCTCCATCATTCTTCTCCAACCTTCTACCGTCCACAACAAACCCCTTTCTTGTTCCCCTCCCCACCCTTTGTCCATCATCCCCTTTCAAAATCATCTTGAGCCCACTCATTGGAAAGGGCCATATTGATCGGAAATGTCTAGATCTCCATTAAATTGTAGCGATTGTGGGTGTTTGATCATTATTGTTGACCCAACATGTTGGTGAGCAATGAAGCATGGACATAGACATGGGACACAACACGGACACGTAAATTTTCAAAAGATGAGGGACACGACACACTGGGGAGACGTCTAATAGATATAATTTTATTTATTTATTATTTAAAGAGGGATCAAAGGATCAAAGCATTAATCCAAGTCCTCATACACGAAGTCTTCAACATGTTTAGGTTCTTCTTCACCTTCGTTCTCTTCTCTCTCTCTCTCTCTCTTTGTCGACCAACAGGTTAGGGTTTTGTCAGAATCACGTCCTGAACTTGTCCAAGCATGTCCCGAACGTGGCCGACTACAATTTTTTTTTTTTAAAAAAGGGGACACCTCTTATAGAGTGTTGGACACATGTCCACCACGTGTCCGATGCGTGTCCATGTCTGACATGTGTTGGACACCCATACGCTGTCTTCAGAGAGGTGTCCGTGCTTCATAGTTGGTGAGGTATTTGGCATGTTGGGATAAGGCGAGGCATTTGGCTTCAATTTGGGCTTGTGTGGCTTCCCCTTTTAAAGGAATTTCCCCGTTTTTTATTTCTAGGGATTGGGTTGCTGTTTGTCATCCTTAATGGTGGAATGTTTTCTGTTTAGTTTTTCCGTTTTTATTGGTTGGATTAATGCTTTGATCCTTAGTCATTGTATGAGGACTTTGTGTCCTCCACTCATTTGTTACTTTTGTTATGAATAAAATTCTATTGTTGCTTGTTCAAAAAAAGAAAAAAAAAGAAAAAAAAAAAGAAACACGTTGGTCTTAGCCAACCATTGACCCAACGTGTTGACCATCATTGTCGACCTAGTGGAATTGCACACCAATGGTGTTGATTATCACCATCAGATCCATCTCAACTCACTACTCGATTTGACTCTTGTGGGATGGGTGGAGCGTTTCATGGTTAGGGTTAGAGGAGTTGCATTTTTCTTGAAAGAGATTGTGGTGGTGGTTAGTAGCTGATGGTTGTGGTGGCTGATGATTGGGTAGGAGATAACTGGTGGTAGTCGGTGGCGATGGTGGTCACAAAAGTGGGTGGGAGACAGTGGGGGATGGTTGTAGGGAAGGGGAGGCAAGAGAGGGGGGTAATGATGAAGATGAGGTGGTAGTGGTGGTTAAGATAATGGCAGTGAAGTTGAGTGCATTGTTTGTGTTTTGTTGTAAGTTCTTGTGTTGTTTGGTTTTACAAATAGAGTATTGTGGTTAGGTTATAATATTGTTTCGTTACAGATCAAATGGAGAAAATGTCTCAATTCATTGTAGGGCTAAATAAGTAAAGACGGCCCTTTTCTAATGGCGTTAGGGAGACAAGATTGACAGGGAGGTCAGGGTTATTTTAGAAACCTCGAGGAAGAAATCTGGAATTAGCATCTCAGGGAGGTCAGTGTAATTACCCTTAAATTTATTGGGGATCTTAAAATGGTTAGAATACTTTCATTATCAATTAAACGATTGATGTTAACTAATATTTAGAGAAATTTTTGAGAACTACTACATATTATTATTGAAACTATATGAACATGAAAAAATAGTTGAAAAACTATAAATAATGAGAAGCGTGTTTCTAGGAAGTTTTCTAGTTTCTGACAAGTTCCTGAAATGTTTTGGAAATATTTCCTAGGGAATGAATTTCACTAGAGTTTTGTCTCCATTCCTAAAATGAATTTCACTAGAGTTTTGTCTCCATTCCTAAAATGAGTCTCTTCTTTCAAAGAGAGTTTCATGTTAACAATGGTCAAAATTTGGAACTCATTTAAAAAGATACTCCAATGAGCTTTCCTTGTACTGTTTGGTATAAACAAAAGAGATACAGAGATGCAAGAAGGTTCGCTTCCAATTCCCCTTTGCCCCAAGGTCCTGAAAGGTCCGGGTGCAATGCACTAAGAGGTAACCGATCTCAAATAGGTGATGGTGTATAACCAGGTATCCACTCCATAGTTGCCATTAAGTTGCGCTCATGCGAAGACATCAATTGGTTATGGAAGAGAGAATTGATCAACATAATAACCAGTAACATATAAAGGAAAAAGAAAGAGTAATTTGTCCTTTATTTACACCCTCACATGGTTGTCAAATCGCGAATCAAATCGTGAATCGTATTTCTAAAAAACTGAATTGTGAATCTTATGATGAATGTACCTCGTTTGCGCAGAAGCTGTGTTGACTGCAAGATACTTGATCAATTGCATACCGTGTAAGTTCTTGCTGGAAGCATCCCGGATTACTCTCATTTAAAAGTCTCTGGCTGCTGTTCATATTTTTTTATAAAAAATATATATACATATAAAATCACAAATATAGTGCTTAAACTGAAAAAAATAACAACATGCTATAAATTTCATGCATCATTGTTTCATTGATTTAAGAGGAAGCTCCAAAAGTTTATAGATCAAAGTTCAAGCTTCAAAAACTAGCTTTTGACAAAATTCAAAATCCAAAATGACATCATAGGCATAGTGGCATACAACACAACAGACCATTGGACTTCTAATTTCTAAATATCAGTCATGTCATCATCAAGAACATCCATCAATTCATCATCTTCACTTCCAACATCTACTTGCTCAATATTTTCTCTCTCTTCATCATCATCATCATCATCATCATCATCATCATCATCAACTTCAACTAGTTGCAGCAATCGTGCATCCAAGCTGTGTTTCTTAGGAAGAAACATGACTCTTTTGGGAGAGAAACACTTTTTTATCTAGATGGAAACGGTGGTGAACTCCAAAAGTGCAATAAAAAAGAAAAAGAAAAGTAGATCTGAAGATCCATCAGAGAGAAGAAAAGAAAAAGAATCTGATATCAAATATGAAGGAGAAGGAGAAGAAGAAGAAGAAGAAGAAGAAGAAGAAGAAGAAGAAAGATGGCATACCTTTAGAAAACAGATGAAGCGAACGAGACCGAGGGAGAAGTTGAAGGAACCTTCAAATCAGACCAGTCTTCGAAGAGAGAGAAGACGACAGAGCTGCTCACTTTATTTGCTGGATTTATCCTTCTTTCTTCCTTTTTTTTTTAATTTTTTAAATTTTTTTTACTTAGTATATATTTTATTTTGACGTAGATGGTCATGGGCTTTCATTTAAAAAGTTCAATGGGCTTCGTTGGGCCTATAGTTGGTCTTAGCTTGCAGATTAAAAAAATATTGGATACTAAATACTAATTATATTACAATCAAAGCCCATTAAAAAACAGACATATATATAAAAAATAAAAAAATAAAAAAAATAATATGACTTTAATATATTTGAATAAAGCCCAAAAAAATATGTTTTATACATGCCAATTAAAAATAAAAAAAAGTTTATATAGATAAATTAAAAATATTATTAATGAAATAATACATAAGCGCTCCCAACCTATGACTCTTCTAAGTGGCCATGCTCTCTCGCCCCGCCCCCATCCCGGCTTCTGTTTTGTGCAACTAAGCTTCAACCACTTGTTTCCCTTTATTTATATTGTTGAGATTTCTGGGCCCTACAAATAAGAGTAGAAGTATATTACCTCTCTTCCTCTTTTTGCTACTTGATCCCGCTTGAAATTGAAAACATTCATCAATATCTAGCCATGCGGTGTCCTCAGGTAGGGTTGGATCTTCTTTTTCAGTTATCCACTCATCATCTTATTCGATATCCGATAGAGAAATAGGATCATAGGCATGCCCTTGTTCTGCCCTTTTTTGGTGTCGTGCTTCTAATCGGAGATTATACTTCGTGAACACAAGTGCATAAAGTCTTTGTTGTTCCAATTGATTCCTCCACTTAGTATGCACCTATTAAATGAGGAGGGTTGAATTAGGATTTATTATTCATTTGAAAACTAAAATATTTATTGAAATTAATTTATATATTTTTTTATACCTGATCAAATGTACTCCAATTTCTCTTGCATCCTGTTGCACTACAAGTAGCTAAGAACACGAATGGCAAGAGTTTGAAAGAGGCGCACCACAAGACTATCAAGTATTAACAAAAATTAATCACTACTTTAGTAAAACAAATGGGAATCCTAAATAAATGAAAGTTAATGTTATACCAGGTTGTTTCTTGCTTCGCATTTGAATGGCCATCTGCATCCCAAACATGTTTTCTGTGAAACATATCTAGTTGCCTATCCACCTTTTCTTGCAATTCACGAGTGGGGCACATCCTTTCAATTGTCTTATAAAGTGTAATAAATAATGTATAGAGAAAGAGAGAGAATAAATTGTATGTATTATTATTGATTGATATATTGATGTTTATTACAATGATTCATGATTCCTATATATAGAAGAGGGTGAGTGTGTAGTAGGTAAGGAGTAGGTGAAGTGGAGGTGGTAGTGGTGTAGTGGGTTAGGTTTAGTAGAGTAGGTTTAAGTGGGTGAAGTAGGTGATAGGTTTTAACAGCCCCCCGCAAACTCAAAGGGGATAGGAACTAACCAACTTGAGTTTGGAGAGAGTAACAAAACAAGAAAATAGACGAATACATAAAAGAAAAGAGGATAGGAGACACTGTATGGTCGTGTCAGACCATTGGTGAAAACACTGGATGGTGGTGTCATAACGTTGTAGAGGACACTGTATGGTGGTGTCAGAACGTTGTAGAGGACACTGTATGGGGGTGTCATAACGTTGTAGAGGACACTGTATGGGGGTGTCATAACGTTGTAGAGGACACTGTATGGGGGTGTCATAACGTTGTAGAGGACACTGTATGGGGGTGTCATAACGTTGTAGAGGACACTGTATGGGGGTGTCATAACGTTGTAGAGGACACTGTATGGGGGTGTCATAACGTTGTAGAGGACACTGTATGGGGGTGTCATAACGTTGTAGAGGACACTGTATGGGGGTGTCATAACGTTGTAGAGGACACTGTATGGGGGTGTCATAACGTTGTAGAGGACACTGTATGGGGGTGTCATAACGTTGTAGAGGACACTGTATGGGGGTGTCATAACGTTGTAGAGGACACTGTATGGGGGTGTCATAACGTTGTAGAGGACACTGTATGGGGGTGTCATAACGTTGTAGAGGACACTGTATGGGGGTGTCATAACGTTGTAGAGGACACTGTATGGGGGTGTCATAACGTTGTAGAGGACACTGTATGGGGGTGTCATAACGTTGTAGAGGACACTGTATGGGGGTGTCATAACGTTGTAGAGGACACTGTATGGGGGTGTCATAACGTTGTAGAGGACACTGTATGGGGGTGTCATAACGTTGTAGAGGACACTGTATGGGGGTGTCATAACGTTGTAGAGGACACTGTATGGGGGTGTCATAACGTTGTAGAGGACACTGTATGGGGGTGTCATAACGTTGTAGAGGACACTGTATGGGGGTGTCATAACGTTGTAGAGGACACTGTATGGGGGTGTCATAACGTTGTAGAGGACACTGTATGGGGGTGTCATAACGTTGTAGAGGACACTGTATGGGGGTGTCATAACGTTGTAGAGGACACTGTATGGGGGTGTCATAACGTTGTAGAGGACACTGTATGGGGGTGTCATAACGTTGTAGAGGACACTGTATGGGGGTGTCATAACGTTGTAGAGGACACTGTATGGGGGTGTCATAACGTTGTAGAGGACACTGTATGGGGGTGTCATAACGTTGTAGAGGACACTGTATGGGGGTGTCATAACGTTGTAGAGGACACTGTATGGGGGTGTCATAACGTTGTAGAGGACACTGTATGGGGGTGTCATAACGTTGTAGAGGACACTGTATGGGGGTGTCATAACGTTGTAGAGGACACTGTATGGGGGTGTCATAACGTTGTAGAGGACACTGTATGGGGGTGTCATACCGATGTAGAAGACAGTTTATGGGGTCATGTCGGACCGTTGTAGAAGACAGTTTATGGGGTCATGTCGGACCGTTGTAGAAGACAGTTTATGGGGTCATGTCGGACCGTTGTAGAAGACAGTTTATGGGGTCATGTCGGACCGTTGTAGAAGACAGTTTATGGGGTCATGTCGGACCGTTGTAGAAGACAGTTTATGGGGTCATGTCGGACCGTTGTAGAAGACAGTTTATGGGGTCATGTCGGACCGTTGTAGAAGACAGTTTATGGGGTCATGTCGGACCGTTGTAGAAGACAGTTTATGGGGTCATGTCGGACCGTTGTAGAAGACAGTTTATGGGGTCATGTCGGACCGTTGTAGAAGACAGTTTATGGGGTCATGTCGGACCGTTGTAGAAGACAGTTTATGGGGTCATGTCGGACCGTTGTAGAAGACAGTTTATGGGGTCATGTCGGACCGTTGTAGAAGACAGTTTATGGGGTCATGTCGGACCGTTGTAGAAGACAGTTTATGGGGTCATGTCGGACCGTTGTAGAAGACAGTTTATGGGGTCATGTCGGACCGTTGTAGAAGACAGTTTATGGGGTCATGTCGGACCGTTGTAGAAGACAGTTTATGGGGTCATGTCGGACCGTTGTAGAAGACAGTTTATGGGGTCATGTCGGACCGTTGTAGAAGACAGTTTATGGGGTCATGTCGGACCGTTGTAGAAGACAGTTTATGGGGTCATGTCGGACCGTTGTAGAAGACAGTTTATGGGGTCATGTCGGACCGTTGTAGAAGACAGTTTATGTTCCGATCTTCTTACATTACATTACGACAATAACTCAATGGACAAACAATACTTAAGTGGAGTGGGCGAGGCCACACCTAGGAGAGAGAAGAAAGTTTTACAGACTGATAGACCCCCGGCTCGAAGGCCACTTCTCGATAAAAGGTGCCCAAAAAGCCGCACAGTTGGCTGCTCGCTGCCTTAGCCGGGACCCAAAAGCCCGACCTCTGATGAGTGAAGTTGTCGAAGCGTTAAAGCCTCTGCCAAACCTCAAGGACATGGCCAGCTCATCATATTACTTCCAGACAATGCAGGCTGACCGTTCAAGTCCCAATGCTAGAAACGGTTTAAGAACGCATGTTGGGTCGTTTTCGAGGAACGGGCAGCAACATCCGAGGAGATTACTCCACACTAGAAGTACCTTAAATTTGTGTAAACTGTAGAAATTTAATGTATAAAGAGAAATAGAGAATTGTATTATTGATTGATATTTATGTTATGGTTACAATGATTCCTATATATAGGAGAGGGTGAGTGTGTAGTAGGTAATGAGTAGGTGAAGTGGAGGTGGTAGTGGTGTAGTGGGTTAGGTTTAGTGGAGTAGGTGAGGTGGTAGTGGTGTAGTGGGTTAGGTTTAGTGGAGTAGGTTTAAGTGGGTGAAGTAGGTGGAGAGTATGTGGATTTAGTGGGTTAGGTTTAGTGGAGTAGGTGAGGTGGTAGTGTTGTAGTGGGTTAGGTTTAGTGGAGTTGGTTTAAGTGGGTGAAGTAGGTGGAGAGTATGTGGATTTAGTGGGTTAGGTTTAGTGGAGTAGGTTTAAGTGGGTGAAGTAGGTGGAGAGTATGTGGATTTAGTGGGTTAGGTTTAGTGGAGTAGGTGAGAGTGGGTGAAGTAGGTGGAGAGTAGGTGGTGGGTTAGGTTTAGTGGAGTAGGTGATGTGGTAGTGGTGTAGTGGGTTAGGTTTAGTGGAGTAGGTGATGTGGTAGTGGTGTAGTGGGTTAGGTTTAGTGGAGTAGGTGATGTGGTAGTGGTGTAGTGGGTTAGGTTTAGTGGAGTAGGTGATGTGGTAGTGGTGTAGTGGGTTAGGTTTAGTGGAGTAGGTGATGTGGTAGTGGTGTAGTGGGTTAGGTTTAGTGGAGTAGGTGATGTGGTAGTGGTGTAGTGGGTTAGGTTTAGTGGAGTAGGTGAGGTGGTAGTGTTGTAGTGGGTTAGGTTTAGTGGAGTAGGTGAGGTGGTAGTGTTGTAGTGGGTTAGGTTTAGTGGAGTAGGTTTAAGTGGGTGAAGTAGGTGATAAATTTTAACATAAAGTCCCTTCTTTATCTCATAATCTGCATTAAAATCAGGAGCATAATGAAACCTTGGATTAAGATAATACGCAATTGCAGACAACCATGCACCCTTGTAATATGTAAGAAAGATTTTAGTTGGGCTTTTCTTTTCCCAATTGTAAAATTGGATGTTTTGGATTCTATTGAGGGTTGGCCTTGCAATTTTCCTATCATGACATGTATGTAACCTCCTCTGCATATCTCTGACACATGTATGCCATTATTCGTGCATTGTTTGTAATCTTTTGTCATGCTTTTGATCTGTACAACCAATTTGTGTTTGTAATTTGTAGGATGGGACTTAACTACTTCATTGATTGGTTTTACTTGCTTGTACCTGAACTAAGTACCTTTTGGGTTTTGATTATAGTTAGAGGATTTTGAATAGAGCACATTCACCTTATTTGGCTTCTTCTAGCCTGATCTTGATGCTGCACTTTCTTCTTTTAGGATGGTTCATGCAATGGCCTACAGCACTATGCAGCCTTGGGAAGAGATGCTGTAAGTTTTCTGTTCGAACTTATATTGTTTCATTCTTTGCTGGATGATATCTCCCTTTCTATTGCTTTTCTTAATAAATTTCGTTTTTGTTTCAAAAAAAAATATCATCTTTGCATCGTTGACATTGTTTTCTTCTTTTATGCATTACTTGGGAAACATGTGCAAAAGTCATTTTTATGAGACTATTGAAATCTTATGTTTAGTAAGCCTATGTTTTTGGTGGAATTCTCTTTTTGAGATTCTATTTATTTGCAGCCCCTGATGCACCAGCCATGGAAGCTTGCTTTTATGTTTTCTTCTTTAATCTGCCTAGGAGGCTTGCTTTTATGGTTCATGCAATGGCTGTACACATTTATTCTATTTCCATGGTGAATTGAGTATGGAATTCATAGATTTAAGCTTCAAGTCTTGTCTAGTATTTTATGTTCAATTTATTTTTTGTGGTTATATTTGGAGTTAATGTTGTAACCTCTGCTTTCAATTGTTTTTTTGGCACATTTTATTATTAATTAATTAATTTTGCGTGGAGTTTTGGCATTGCTAATTGATTTAGAGTACATTCACATCCTCTGCCTTCTCTATGGTGGCTCTGTTTGTACAGTTGGAAGCAGCTGCTGTCAACTTAGTTGCTGGAGAGAAACCTGCTGATGTTTATTCCGAAATTGCTGCAAGGTATACTGGTATCTATTGTGAACTTGGAATCCAATCATTGTTCTCTTTAAGCTATTATAAACCCTATGATAGCTTATAGTCTGTATTTCTGTGGCAATTCATAGTTGAAGAGGAAAGGGGAGGGGAAAGGAAGAGGGAGAAATCTCAATTCTCTTTTCCTTTTCATTCCCCTTTCTGTCTTTTCTAGATGATGGATGAAGAGAGTTTCGAGTATTTGATAGAAGGAAAGGAGAAGGGGTAGGAAAAAAAAGAGGGGGAGAGTTTTGTGGGTGATAGAGATTAGAGGTGATCGGTCGTTGACGGAGATGGAAGAGGAGAAGACCAAGGCAAGCTTAGAGAGGAAAGGGGTGGCAATGAGGGACCTTGAACACTTAGTGTATATTATATGATTCTTGTTGCTCTTGTTGTGTTATTGTGGCTGCACATATGATGCCGTTATAGAGACTCCATGTGTATTGGAGTCCAAGCAACCTCAAGACAGGTGGCGAGTTCTCCTCGACTGGACAGGAGGGTGATATTAGCCCTACTAGTTGTGCCCTATGATTCAGGTCCTTGGGAAGGTTGCATCATAGGAGTTGCAGCTGTAGGTATGATATCTTGAGAGGTGTATCATATGTGCATTAGATGTAAGTGTAAGGTCAACGTCCCTGTCTCTAAGCCAGGTCAAAGGGAGAGTTGTCACTGCAGGAAGACAACTACACGACCTTGGACGATCCTGAGGTCTTAGCCTCCAATCCACAATCCTCCAGTGATCCCAAGGGGAGTGCTTGGGTCTTGCTCCCAACCTAAGTAGCCAAGAGGGTGAATGCATGGATGAGTCAAGGGCTCATCCTGAGTAGCTAAGTAAACATAGGTGAGTCAAGAGTCCCACTATGTTGCTATGGAGCTGGGGTGAGCGGGTAGAGAATATATTTCTTGAGTTATGTAGGGTCATGGAGAGCTTTAGGTGAGCCAGCTCTATCTCAGTAGGCTGTGGCCTTGTTTTCATACTTGGTGGTGTGCATGCCCTTGCTTAGGCTTGGCATATGACCCCGACTCATCGTGGTGCCTCAGGAGTCTACCATGTGGATGTGTGGTGGTGATGACATACTCATCGTGGTGCCTCAGGAGTCTGCCACGTGTGTGTGTAGTGGTGATTACATACTCATCGTGGTGCCTTAGGGGTCTGCCACGTGAATGTGTAGTGGTGCTGACGGGACGCCCATAGGGCTCGCCATGTGCCAAGCATAATATAGATACCCACAAGTTTCTTTGGATCAACATATCCTTTTCACCCAACAGTGAACAGGTGGAAGGAAAGGAGGAACCTTACACTTCATCACTTCTGGCCTCTAAACAACATTTGGTGTTTCTAGTATTTGATAGCAGGAAAATAGATGGGGAAGGAAAAAGGGTGGGGGAGAGTTTCCATGGTACCACCTACCCTTTTCACCCAGTAGCGAATAGGAGGAAGGGAAGGTGGAACCTTATACTTAATCAACTTCTACATCACCTTCTTGCCTTGAAAAAGCACTTTTGTAAATATATTTGGGCAAAGTCATAAACTAGTAACCCCTTTCTTACCCTTCCCTCTCCATTCTCAACCAAATAAAAAAAGGAGAGGGGAAGGGAGGTTTGGGAGAGGAGGCTTTGATCTTTTGTCTCATGCATTACTTTGTTGTTAATATTTTAACGCTGCATTCATGACCCTTAAAAAGCAACAGTTTAATCTGGCAGGGTTCATGATATCATGGTAAGGGACAGCAATAAGGATCCTGCAACTAGTCCAAATGCTTTATTAGCCAAGCTCTTAATTGGACAGGTTGATTTCTTTTACTTCTCCCTCACTTCCCTGAAATGTTTGAGTTTTAGACCACATTACATATTTATAAGATGATGAATTCTAGATAATGACCTTTAACTTTGTTAGCTTTCAGGTGGATAGGAAACTAGTGAAACAGACAGTGATGACTTCAGTATATGGCGTTACTTATGTTGGTGCACGAGAGCAGATCAAAAGGAGATTAGAGGAGAAGGGTCAAATTACTGATGATGGCCTACTTTTTAATGCAGCTTGCTATGCTGCTAAAGTAAGCGTCCACTGACTAGAAAATAGGGTTAGATTGTTAGCATTAGAGAACATAATTTCCACTTCAATGTCCTTAATATTGTTGCTTATGTCATGAAAACAGAAAATATTTTGATTCTTCACGCTAAAGAAAATTCATTAGAAAGTCAATGAATGTAAAATAAATTGATGTATATTATTGATAGATATTTTTGATGTTTACAATGATTGATATATATAGAAGAGAAGAAGGTAGTAGGTGAAGGTAGGTGAAGATGTAGTAGGTGATGGTAGTAGGTAGTGGTAGGTGTAGTAGGTGTGGTAGGTGAAGGTAAATTCTAACAGCCCCCCGCAAACTCAAGGAGGAGAGAAACTAACCAACTTGAGTTTGAAGAGAGGAACAAAATAAGAAAATACATAAAAATAAAAAGAGGATAGGTGACACTGTATGGTCGTGTCAGACCATTGGTGAAGACACTGGATGGTGGTGTCATAACGTTGTAGAGGACACTGTAGGGGGGTGTCATAACGGTGTAGAAGACAGTTTATGGGGTCATGTCGGACCGTTGGATGCAGACAATGTTGTGACAGTTTACGGAGTCTTGCTGGACCCTTGGAGAAACTAACCGGAATCAATGTCGGGACAGTTTACAGAGTCTTGTCGAACCCATAAAAAATCGCATCCTCAAAAGGTGCGCTCAATTTTTCAAAAGGCGTGCCATCAAAAGGCGCGCCCATGTTGTCGGCTGGCGTCAAGTGGCGCGCGATACGCGTGGATCGGCCCTGACTATTTAAACCAAGGTTGAGGCGGAGGCTGTGCATACCAGTCTGAAACCTCTGAAACCAACCCTTCTCGAAAAAAACTCTGCCTCTTCGGAGAGAGAAACTGTGGAACACTTTGTAGCCCAGAAAATGGCTTCGTCTTCCCGCGGTCTGCTCACCCTCTTTCCCGACCTCAATGAGTCAACAAGAGAGATAACGGGTGCGGTGGCCCCTGAACCTCAACCAGGCGCCCCAGGGTTTGCTCCGTTGAACTTTCCGATGCGGTCAGTGGAGCAAAAAATGGCAGTGCAATCGGATGTGGAAGCCAATCAGTATACAT